AGTTATCGCTGACGAGGATCGGTTGAAGACTGCCGCTCTCACTGGTCAACACCTGTGGATATGGACCATTCTTTGTTATGAGCCAAATTCGCCCTACGCCTGGCAAACAGTCACAGTAAAGTCAGCGATAGTTACAAATCGACCTTCAAGGCGGAGCTCTCCGATCGCCTATCAGTTCACTCACAAACCGAAGGCCTCAATAAACACTGAAAGCAAATCAAGGAAGCTATGCAAATATCGCAAAAAGCGGTGGATTCTGGAGCAGGCTCAAAGCAAAAACGAGGGATCTCGTCGACTTCGACTGTCTTACTGGACGCATGCATAACCCTTGCTCCTGATACCAATTGACAACGCGCAAATCCCTTAAACGCCAGCTCATCACGAGTCTGAGGAAACACCGCGAGAAGTGGTGGATGAGAAAGTGCAGAGAGATGGAGAAAGCTGCGGCTATTAGTACTAGTCGCACTCTTTTCCGTCTAATTAGGAATACACGCCCCAGGAAAATAGGCGTGAGGTAATTAAGGAATCCGATGGCTTACTGATTCATCACCAGCAACGCAGTCTCGATCGGTGGGCTGAACATTTCGAGGCTCAGTTCGAATGGCCTCCATCGACATCTGACCTATCATCCCCCCCACGTCGATTGGGAAAATACTCCCAGTTGACGCCAGTCCTCCGTTGGAACTGGAGGTTTCCCGGGAACTACGTTATCTCAAAAGGCCCAAAGCCTCCGGTCCAAATGGATGGAGGTTCAACCTTGATTTTGGAGTTAACGAAACTCCCAGGCTCAGAGTAGAATAGGGAGGAGGTTCTGAATTGGTGAAGATCATGAAGTTTCGTGTGAATTTGGTATGAGGACCGTCCCCATCTTTTTCCAAGGGTTCACCTCTAGCCTAGGCACAAACAAGTGCAGACTGCTAGGCAGCAGTGTGTTGTGAACGGTTAGCGGCAGCTCCCTTGGAGCTGAATCACACATGATAAGTCTGGATGCAACACAAGGATCCATGCTAATCTTTTAGTTGTACAGATTTATTCTGTAGCAGTTGTATCAAATAATAGCTCTTGTCAGACCACTAATGAGTTGCCCTCTTTTTAAACTGCCATCTCACCGAAGATCGTTTATTTTCAAACTGGTTTAATCCACTCGTTAAGCGACTTACCAAAGCGTGACCGTGGGGTTGGCCTCAACTTTCTGGAGCCATAGATGCGAGTCAAGTAAACGACGGAGATTGCCGTTGTATCCATACGACCATCGTCTGATTATCCCAGGTTTGGAGGAACTGAACTAGACCGGTCTCATTGTCATTCTGCCGCATTGATTTACCAGACAAACACAACACATACAGATCAACGTCCAACCGAACCGATCATAGAAAAGTCGACCAGTCAAGTGTGATCTTTTGCGAATGCGATTTCATCAGTCGCGCGACTTGGTGCTGCATGATTTGAAATATCACTGCACAGCAAGGTGGAGTATGCACCATGGCTCACGACAGTCGAACAGCTCATAAGTTCTACTTCCATCAAATAATCCTTAATTTTCTCTCATTTGATGAGGATGAAAAACAGTCATTCGCGATCGCTGCAAATAAAAATCTGTAGTATGCGCTAATGTGTATTTATCACATAAAACAGCGGTAGCCTACTCGAAATGGGTGGTGGTAAAATGGATAAAGGGTACCAGATTTTCATCCCAATGTAACTTGTCCATTTGGTTGGGGCATAGGCCGGTTGGGTAGCAAACGAGCGTTGCTCGTGTTAATAGCATACTGGTAAGGAGAACAACGAGCCTCGTTTATCTCGTATGGGGAATGTCCTCCGCGCGTTCAAACAACGTTGATCGATCTGAAGTGAGTTCTCTTTGACTGCTATATCGTTTTCCAAACCGGATTGGTTGTGTTTCAGTCGTGATAACGTCATTTCAGCGTGTTTGGCACGATCTTTAAGCATTCGAATAGCACCCCGAATCTCGACAACTTCGTTTTGCAAACTGTGAATATGAAAAGGAAATCCGTCTGTTGTATATACATATATAGATCGTATGTATGCAGAGTGAAAAACAGTCTGCTCAGTTGCAAAGTCGTCAAGTTTTGAGTATGTTTGCGTTTTACCTGTGAGGTCCCGGGTTCGATGGATTCATGCTATTAATGAGACCCAATCAGGTTGAAGCAGCTTTACAATGTTTCTTAACCTTTCATTTCACGCTTCATTCGCTATGTACACGACGAACGTCCCTATATGCTCAATCAAATCTTCCATTACTCTCTGCCATATATATGT